GATGGGAATTGAGGAAGAAATATTTGAGATTCTGCACTATTTCAAAGTATACTATTATCAAGTAAGCGAATTTATAACGTTGATCATGTGAGATTCTTTGTACAGACAGTCAGATGTTTTTGTTTCCATTGAAACATAAGCTGCTCTTTGGATCATCAAAATCATCCTGGATAACATGATCATTAGGTTTTACACAACCTTGTGAAGTTCATGCAACTTGTGTGCTGCAGAGAGTTCACAATAATCAAAATCAAACATTTTTTCTTTACCATATGTATTTTTCTTTTTCTTGATTCTGTGGAATGCAACACATATTATTTATAGTAGAAGATCCAAACTTGTTCATGCAGTGAAAGTAAATGGTAACCACAGCCACCAAGCAAGATTTTAAGTGATTATCAACTTATGAAAATTCTGCCATTAATTATTCACCCTCATGTTGTTCCAAATCCTTCATGCGTCGGGGTACTCTGGTGAATGTGCGTTGAAGACTGACACAGAAGAGAAGAAATTGTTAAATAAAGTTGTTATTTTTGTTTTCTTTGCACACAAAAAAGTATTCTCGTAGCTTTATAATATTACGGTTGAACCACTGATGTCACATGGATTATTTTAACGATGTCCTTACTACCTTTCTGGGCCATAAAACTTGGTCAACAATGTCAGTTGCATTGCTGTCTATGCAGGGTCTGAAAGCTCTCGGATTTAATCAAAAATATCTTAATTTATGTTCTGAAGATGAACAAAGGTCTTACGAGTGTGGAACAACATGAAGGTGAGTAATTAATGACAGAATCCCTTTAAATGATGGCCTGTTCTTTCGCAATCATATTGCTTCATAGGACAAAATGTTGCATTAAAATCATATGTACTTGTTTTTATCACATTTTTCGTTTATTTCTGACAGTTTGTCAGCCTCTGGTCACCATCCACTTTTACAGTATGGAGAAGAGCTGCAGTAACATTCTTCAAAACATTTCATTTTGTGTTCCACCAAACATCATATACCAAATACAATAAATTCTGAAATTCAAGTAGTTTTTTTTTTTACATTTAAGTTGTTATTCTGATTTGTAATAACAATTTGTATACAATTAGAACAGATTGGGAACAGGTAAAACTGTTGTATCATATAGATTTTGATTTTGTATTCTAGTGTTTTCTAAGTTGTGTTTCTAATCTGTATTCTAGTTAAATATTGTGTTTTTCTTTCTAAGAAGACAAGCTCAGAGCAAAACACAAAATATGCTGATAAGAAGCTTTTAGACAATATTCATGCTTTCATGTAGTCTCATTTTGGCTAATATGTATATTGTATGAAATTGCAGATTACAAATAAGATTGCAAATGAATGTTTTTAGTAATGTTATCTGTGTATGTGTGGCCTGGGTTAAAATGAGCAGTAATATTAGTATAGGCTACCTATTAGCTATATTGCATTCAAATGCTTTTATTTCCAGCAAATTTCTTAGTGTGCAAATATTTGTATTAACATAAAACACAAACTCAACATGTTTTGCAGGCATTTAACGAACAGAAATGGAAAAATGAGTCCCCGAACAAAAGTGGCAGTGAGTATCTTGTGTGGTCACCAGCTGTTTTAAACACTGCAGTGCATCTTATCTTGCTGTGAGATGTTACCCCGCTCTTCCACTAAGGCACTGGACATCACATCTGGGGGGAAACATGGTTACATTTTGACACTTTGACACTGCAAGGACTATGGCATGTTCACACAGGTGATCAGGGATCATGGGCATCTTATTTCTTGGGTTTTGAGAGTCAGTAGAAAGGTCTCTTTAAGTACCTGTGTCCGTAATTGCCTACCGACTGTAAACTGTTAAGGACTACTCCACAGTTGCATGTGCAATAATTGCTATGGTTCATTGAAAACGCATGAAAAAAAACCCTTTCCAATAAAGACCCTGTTGCTGAGTTATATATGCATGTAGTCAGTAATCTGAACAATGCGAGAGAACAGAAACAGGAATATGGGTCATGTTGACTTTTTGTGTTTGAGGGGCTTTGGCTTTGAGTTCATTTGTGTTTACCAGTGGCAGGGACACACTCTCTTTAATATTCTCAAAATGACAACAACCTCAGAGGTAATCCAGCATGACTATAGCTTAAATCAAACCCAGTGTAGCAAAGAGATGCAGAAAAGATAAAAGCTTATAAGGCCATCCCATGATTATGACATCTGGTTGGTAGACTCAGAAACATTAGTCGTCAATTCCAGGATATGATATTCCACATCATAAAGTCACATTTTGTCTTCCCTCTCTCCCTCATTTGTTGGGCAGTTTTTAAAGCCAAAGAGGTTGATGGAGCCCTGTATGCGATCCTGGACACGAGTGACGCTGGTGGGGGTGGGAGAGCTGGGTGAAGAGGGGAACAATGAATCTTTCTTCCTCATCCTTTCTGCAACCCATACTATGGGTCCAGCTTCCTCCACCAGCCCCTCGAAAAGAGCCCCCAAACTTTGGCGGATTCGAGCGCAGAAGTTTGGACAGCTAAAAGCATAGATAATTGGGTTCAATACAGAGTTCAGGAAGGCGAATGTTGTCGCCACAGGTAAGTACACCTCCACAAGCTCCACAATCTCTGTCTTGTACTGAGCCGTCACCTCCAGCAAGCAGAAGACGTGGTAGGGCACCCAGCAGAGAATAAAGGTTGCGATCACTGAGACGACCATCTTCATGAAACTTCCCGAGAGCCGAATACTGTTTTCTCTGCCTGATGAAGACAGGCTGCGGAAGAATTTCAAGGATCTCAGTTTGCCATTGCTCGCACCCTGCCGTCGACTCTCAAGCCTCTTTCTGCGAGCTCGCAGTTCAAGAAAAATGGAAGTGTAACTGATGGCGATGACAATCAGAGGTATGACAAATGCCAGCAAGACTTTGGACACTGCCGTCGCTGCCTGACGCACCTTACAGTCTCTGTGCAGTGTGTTTGAGGAGGAATAGAGTGCAAAATTATGATAGCAGAGTTTGCGGCCATCCTTCTTTTCCACAACGGAACGGAACATGAAATACGGAAGTGCGTTAACCGCCGCCCAAGCCCATCCTAGACCGCAGATCTTCCACGCTGCCGACACAGTACGATGGTTCTGAGTCCAAACCGGCTTGGTCACGATCAAACAACGGTCCAATGATATCACAGCCAGTAGGAAGGCAGAAACAAACATGTTGAGGAAAAAAATGGAGGCCTGGGCTGCACACAAAGCGCCGCCCAACTCCCAGCTGTGGTTCATCAATAGGTAATGAGTGAAAAGCGGCAAGGTTAGCGTGGTTAGGAAGTCCGACAACGCCAGATTGAGGACCCATACTGCAGCAACCGTCCTGCGATGAAGACGGAAACCAAGCACCCACAGCACCAGTCCGTTTTCCAGGATACCCAGAGTGGATACCACACCGTGGACACTCACCACTCCCAAGTTCACGCCAGTGTCTTTGTTTAAGGTGTGAGAGCTCATTGTTTGCAGAAGAGGGCAGTGGAGCTCTGAGGGGGATGATGGGCTGAGGGTGGAATTAGGAGGGAATGAGGAAGTCATTGCTGTCACAAAAAAGAGAAAAAATATTCATATATTTTTATTACAGCCTTCTGCAATGAAACATAGATCTATGAAACCTTTATTATGTGTTTTTTAAAATGTGTGTGTGGGTGTGCGTTTTATCTTGAAGTTGAACATCTGTAGGATCTTCAACCAGGTGTTGTACTGCATACACTCTCAGAAAAAAGGTACAAAAGCTGTCACTGTGATGGTACCTTTTAAAAAGGTATGCCTTTGTACCTAAAAGTTACAAAAGTGTACATTTGGAACAGGTACCGCCCCAGTGTCAGCTTTTGTACCTTTTTCTGAGAGTGTGGGATCTGCCAATTATTGTTTGAACTTTTTGGAAGATTTGTGAAAGACGTCTCTTATGCTCACCAAGTCCGAATTTATTTGATAAAAAATACAGTAAAACAGTAATACTGTGAAACATTAGTACAGTGGGTATAAAAATTCTGGGCATCACGGTTAAAACGGCAGCTTTTTGAGATTTAAAACTTAAAGTGACCTGTTTGCATAAAAATTCCCTTTATAACAAGACATCTGTTTTGGAATTTGAAAGCAGTGACATTCCAAAAATAGAGTATCTGTCAAAAATTGATGGAAAAAAAGAAAACATATTAGGCTGCCAAGAGACAACCTAACATTAAAGGAGCTGCATGAATGTGTGGAAAGTAATGGTCACTTGCTGCATGTGACAACAACATCCTTTATTCTCCATGTTTGTGGTGTCGAGTGAAGAGACGGAAGCTATTGTTCACCAAAAAAAAAAAACCCTTAGCTCGTCCAAATTTAGCTAAAATCATGTGGCAAAACATTTTATGATTTGAATAAACTACATTGAACTTTTGAACCCATGATGAAGATGGTGGATCATGCAACAGGGCTGCTTCTCTTCAGCTGGGACTGGGGCAGTAGTCAAGATAGAAGCAATCATGGGAAGTGCCAAATACCAGAACATTTTGCCACAAAACCTGCAGGCATCCATTAAAAATATAAAGATAAAGAGGAATTTCATCTTTCAGCATGATAATAGCCTTGAACACAAATCTAAGTCAATAAAAGCATCTTCAGTGGATCTGACATGATTTTACTTGGATTCCTTTTTTTCTTCTGAAAAAATAGCCATTTTAACAGGGGCTTGTAGACTTTTTATACCCACTGTGCAATTTAAAATAGCTGTTTTCTCTTTAAATGTATCTTAAAATGTAATTTATTGCTGTGTTGCATTCAAATGCTGACAAAACAGAAGATTTCCCAATGCTTTCAAAAAAGAGGAAGAAAGAATGAGAAAGATGTGTAAAAACAAGCAAATCGGAAGCTGTGGTGAGGACACTCAGATGAGCTTTGAAGTTAAGAAAACTCTATCGACTTAACTGCATTTACAGTAATACTGTAATGAACCGCCTTAGTCTCTTAAGTCTATTAGTCTGTCTGTGCGCTCTCTGCTGTCGCTATTTTGGCTTAGTTTTGTCTGGTCACTTTCATCCAAGACCTTCACAACAACATCGTCCTGAGGTATGTTAAAAGTTTGTCTCTGTTTAGGCATGTGCATAGATGATCGCATAAGCGTTTTGAGTAACAGCATTTGTCTGCATTTTGTTTTATCTTGTTATCAAAAAAGAGCAGGCAGACCAAGTCTTGCCAAAATGTAGTGAAATCTCAACCGTAGTTTATCATCAAGTTCACACATTCTCTAATCAATCTTACAGAAGTTTACAGTGTCTAAACAAGCATGTTGCTTTATAAATGTGCTCAGATTTAGATTCATTGGTATCACAGTGTGTTAAACAGGAACGTATCTCACACTTACAGTACATAACAATTGGTGTTTTAGTAGAAATGATGACTGTGCGATGTCTACCGTTCGCTTATCCTGCATCCATTCATGTCAGAGTTGTCAGTTATTCCTCAGGAAAATCTTGGTGTTGATGATATAAACCTACTACAGTTTCATTCAGGAATGGTAATGGATCTCATTTTATCTTGAAAAAAGTAGCTTACGATTGGGAACATGAGCATGTCAGTGCCTGCCCCAACAATCTCTCTCCAACAACAACATTTCCCTAGAAACATAGAAAGGGTTGTGGGAAGAGGAAAGGCAGTCTTAGAAGAAAAGTGAGCAATCGGTTTCATTGGAATTATAATGTAATAATGCAGGTGTTTACTCACCTAAGACTTAAGGCGCCTCATGGGGCTTGAAGTTTGTCTGCCTCAATTCTTCTTCTCTTTTATTATGTTGAAGAGATTGGTGAGGATATTCTTAAGTCTCTCTAACTATTTTAGTTGATCAGTATCTTGTTTCTGTAAAATGGGAATTTCAGACACTAGCAGCAGGCATATAAATCTTTTTTGTCCTAAATTTGAAAACAGTAATACTGTAAAATATGATTTTAAATAACTGTATTGTATTTTAATATATTTTTAATATTGTATTTTAACATGGAAGTTCAAGGATTTTAAGATTCCTTGTTCTTTTTACCATAAAAGGCAGTGACAGTATGTTTTTCAGGTTGAATTTTCTGGCTTTTTATTCAGACACTACTGTCATTAGTGTCATGAAACTTACCTTTTATGAAGTTTGTTTACTGTGCTCCCACAGAGCATCTTCTGTTGATCTTTAGGTGTCCCTCAGTTTCTTTCTTCTGTGAATTCTTCTTTGCCTCTGCCTTATTTCTTCTCTCTCTTCTCACTCTTCTCACTCTTATTTCCATTCCTGTGTCTCGTACATCATTTTGTATGTAGTTTTGAAGAGGCGGGGCATAACACAGGTAAAGAACAGTAGAAAGCTGTAGGTGTAAGTGGGATCTTTGTGTTTTTCTGTCACACGACAGTTCAGCTATTCATAATTATGTTTTGTTTCACCTACAGATAACAGCTGTTCAGACTGTTTGTATGTCTTTTAAATGTATGAATAGTGCTGAACAACACATATGAATTGTTTTATTAGATATTTGAGGCCACAGGGCAACCAAATAAATAATTTTGACCCATAAATAATCACCACAATACCACAATAATCACCACAGTATAGATTTACAACTTCTTAATGTGTGAACATCTCATTACCTACATTGTGCTAACATGATGGTAGTGGCTTCTTTTTTGGCTCTCATCCTTAGATCTTCTCTTTTAAATTCACTGAGAGACATGGTCATATTTGCTGACATATTATCACTGAATAAGACAATAATGATCGACTTGTTGAAAACTAAGGTAAAAAGAGCTGAGCAGGGCGCGATTTAACAACCATGTAATGTTAAAGACAGGTTGAATTCTGCCACCTTTTGTGAAAGAAATTATTCTTTTGCCAACCTGATTGATAATTGGACCTAAATTGCACCTAAAGGTTTGTTTTTATTTTCAGTTATGTAAGGAACTTCACATATGAAATAATGAAAAAAAAGTGCAACTGGTTCCACAGATTTTTAGCTAGTCATGAGTAATTTGTTCCATGGCTAAAAACTTCCATGATATTTCACAGTTGATGTTGGCTATTATAGTTATGATTAATAATTTTGTGTGTGTGTGTGAGATGTAACACAATATTTTAAAGGCAGCCATGTCTTAATAATGTAATTCCTCCATTGTGGTTAATCATTTGCTGAGGTATGATTGCATGACAACTTCTGAACACTGTGAGATAAGACATTATATATATATACATATACTTGTCGTCATCAGAGACTAACAAGGATCCACAATTAAGGGGAGATACAGGAGGAACAGAAGCAGATTGAAAAGTGGTATAAGGTAAGAATGTCTTATATTATATTATATTTATTATATTATTACATCCACTTATTGTAATGAAAGTAATAGTTTTTTGAGCGAAAGTGTATGTTTATAATATATAATATATATGTGTGTGTGTGTGTGTGTGTGTGTGTGACTCTGGACCACAAAACCAGTCGCACAGGTATATTTGTAGCAATAGCCAACAATACATTGTATGGGTCAAAATGATTGATTTTTCTTTTATGCCAAAAATCATTAGGATATTAAGTAAAGATCATGTTCCATGAAGATATTTTGTAGATTTCCTACCATAAATATATAAAAACTAATAATATGCATTGCTAAGGACTTCATTTGGACAACTTTAAAGGCTCTTCTCACTCTTATTTTCATTCCTGTGTCTCGTACATCATTTTGTATGTAGTTTTGAAGAGGCGGGGCATTATCACAGTTGAAGAACAGTAGAAAGCTGTAGGTGTAAGTGGGATTTTTGTATTTGTCACATGACAGTTCAGCTATTCATAATTATTATGTTTTGTTTCACCTACAGATAACAGCTGTTCAGACTGTTTGTATGTCTTTTAAATGCATGAATAGTGCTGAACAATACATATGATTTGTTTTAGATATTTGAGGCCACAGGGCAACCAAATAAATAAATAATTGAGCAGAGACAATGAAAAGTTTGACAAAATACAGACAAAATAATCACCACAGTAGATTTACAACTTCTTAATGTGTGAAAATCTCATTACCTTGCTGTAACATGATGGTAGTGGCTTCTTTTTTGTCTCTCATCCTTAGATCTTCTCATTTAAATTCACTGAGAAACATGGTCATATTTGCTGATATATTATCACTGAATAAGACAATAATGATCGACTTGTTGACTTATTTATTCAGCTTTTAGATGATGTATAAATCAATAAATTCAAAAAATTTATATATATATATATATATATATTTTCTTTCCCATCCTTTTATAATATTTTTACCTAATTCCCCTCAGTTCCCTCTCTCTAAAGATTTTAATTTCTCTATTTTTCCGCATAATTTGACTGGTTTAGTTAGTTTAGTTTTTACGCATGAAAAAAACAACATTGTACCTCATATAATAATGTGAGGTACAATGTTGTTTTTTTCAACAAGAAACAAAAATAAGAAATAAAAATATGGCTACAGTACATTTTCATAAAAGCAGCTATATTATTGAAAAAAAGTCTCAGGGCCCTATCATACGATCGGCGCAATGCGGAGCCAGGCGCGACGCAAGTGTTTTTTGCTAGTTTCAGCATGACGCAGTTATCATTTTCACGTCCTGCACCACGTTGTTTAAATAGCAAATGCATTTGCGCCCATGGGCGTGCTGGCCTGAAAACGAGGTGTGTTCAGGTACATTGTTGGCGGGTTGCTATTTTGAGGCAACTGAAATAGACAGCGCCAATGAGCTACTAAAACTTGGTCTAAAGTCAATGGCGCAGTATTTTTTTGTCATTTAAAGAGCGCGTTAGTAATATGCACCTATAGGCAGGTCCACAGCACGCGTACACTCTTCATATTACACAAGCAGCAGCACACAAACATGCCAAATATTAAAAATGAAAGGATTACAATGTAAAAGATTATTATTGTGTAGGCTACATAAATATAAA